TGGAAACAAACATGCTATTTTTTTTCAATATCTTCTCATTCAAGCACCATCATTGGAGCTTTCCCAAGATTCATCTTCAAACATATCCAATTCTTGTCATATGGTCATCATATCATTATAATAGGTCGTTACCTCACGATCACCTTGTTGCATTTTCCACGTTCGAGTCTTCAACTCATAAAGTTGGGAATGATTGTTTAGATTTGGATAAGTCTCGCAGATTGCCTTCCACACCTCTTTCGCTGTCGGCAGAAACATAAAAGGCTTTCTGATCCCTGGTTCCATGGAATTGATTAACCATGCAGTCACCATTGAATTTTCGGAGCGCCATTATCGGTATTTGGGATCGCTTGAATAAGGTTTGGTGACCTCACCATTTAAATAACCTAATTTACCTTTATTGTCAATCGCTAGTCGCACCGATTGGGACAACTCAAGATGGTTCTTTCCATTCAATTTGTGAATGGTAATCTGAAATGAATTTTCAGTGAAGGATACAACTGAAGATGTAGAGGAGATAACCGATGGTGACTGAGAACCAGTTCCTGTCGAAATAGTACCACTTGTATCTTTTGGAGGTGGCATTGTAGAGCCAAGCATGGTTGTTTTGTAATTTATGATCGAGCTCTACAGTTCTGATACCATGAAAAAAATTGATAGAGAAAGAAAAGTAGGAGAAAACTGTTTTTTTTATTTTTTAATTATGACAGATTACATATATATAAGGAAAAAAAAAATTAGACTAACAATAAATCCTATGAAATATAGGGTTTATTCAAATCCTATGGAATCTGAGATTTATTTCAGACTTTATGGAATTTATTCAAATCCCATAGAATTTGAAATTTATTTCAAACTTTATGAGATTTATTTGAAATTTCATAAAATCTGTAATTTATTTCAAACTGTCATATCTTGGAAATAAATCTTAACTTTCCAAAATAATCTCTACCGACAATATATATATGACTAATAATAAATGAAACACACACTCAACCATTCTTAATAGTTTTTCTTTAGAATCTTGTTCTTGTGGAACAATGATGAAGACTGATTACAGGGTGCATGTGAATGGTTGAGACTTTAAAGTTAAGAGTACCTCAACTCACAAGAGTCCTTGGAATGCCATTTTGTAGGTTTGATCTTTTCGTTTCTTTTAATCTTTTTGAAAGCAAGTGATTGCTGTCGCACTGTGTCCCCAGAAGATTTTTCAGTTGGTGATCTTTTGCTTGCTAGTCTCCTTTTCTTCGTGCCATTAAGCTCGCATCAGTCCATTTATCAAGCAATTTGATGGACACAACTATGGGAATTTAATTTTTTCTAGGAATTTTATGATCGAGTCTCGTACATGTTTTCTGTGCTTAATATTCTTGAGCCTTTTTTGTCTCTCACAACCCAATAGCATAATCTGTACCTTGGATTCTTCAAGTATGGGTCCATCTTACTCCATAATTCCAATTGCCACAATGCGACTCACTCTTCAGAGTTCTAAAGTATCATCAAAGTTTAAGATTTTTCTCTGGACTACTCTTCTGAACAAGTGCAACCCTAATGATTTTCTTACAAGTTCACATACCCAGTCATGTACTTTCCACGGACATCTATGTTATGTGTTTCTGTCCCCAGGATAGAGCATGTTTGTTGAAATTGAGTGTGATAATGCCAAGTAGTTGTATTGCCACTCTGGATAGAAGATTTTGAAGGCCGGACCTAGATTCTATTGCTCTTCATGTTAGCTAGTGTGCATGTTTAGAAAGTATCATGTTCAGAAGGTAAGAACTGTTGAAAGAAGATATTCTGATTTATATAGATACCAGTTTTATTGAAAATTTTAATGTCATAAAGAAAAAGCTTTAAATGGAAATCTTTGCAAAACAGGTCTTTTTATCATTTTCTGTTACCTTTGGTGGAGAACAGAAACCACTTATCACATTTATGGTAATTTGTTTTCTTCAGCTCATGTAGTTTCTCTTTGATTCAGGAGATCTCTGGTCAGGCTCGGAGGGTGGTAGTATCAAAATATGGCCATGGGAAGCAATTGAGAAATCATTCTCTTTCACAATGGAGGAAAGGCACATGGCTGCTTTAGTAGTGGAGAGATCATATATTGACCTTAGGAGTCAGCTTTCCTTAAACGGCTTTAGCAATATATTAGCTTCAGATATTAAGTTCTTGCTATCTGATCATTCTAGAGCAAAAATGTGGAGTGCTGGTTATGTATCATTTGCATTGTGGTATATATTCCTAAACTTCAAGTATTTCATGCTTTTTGTTGATTTTACTACATATTATCCAACATGTCATCTGTGACTAATTTCATTTGTACAAAGTACTAGTATCTGTAAACTAAATCCTAGTTTACGACTGTTTTTCCATATCTTGTGTGTATGGAAGTAGTTATCTTTATTTTTATCATTAAAAATCTTAAATCTAGATTTCTGTTTCATTGACTGCATTAGAGCTGTCTAAGATGTCAATCAAAAAATTACAGGGAGGCTCGTACGCGGGAGTTGCTCAAAGTTTTCAATATAGATGGTCAGGTTGAGAATAGAGTGGATATGTCATTAGCAACAGATTTTTCAATTGATGATGAGATGAAGATGAAGGTTGTTACAAGTTCCAAGAAAGAGAGAACACAGACTTCCTTTGGTTTCTTTCAGCGCTCACGTAATGCTATCATGGGAGCAGCTGATGCTGTTCGTCGAGTTGCAGCAAAAGGGGGACTTGGTGATGATAATCGGAGAACTGAGGCACTAGTGGTAACAATTGATGGAATGATCTGGGCTGGTTGTGCAAATGGTTTACTTGTACAGTGGGATGGAAATGGCAATCGTTTACAAGATTTTCAGTACCAGCCTGCTGGTATTCTATGCTTATGTACATGCGGGACCCGAATATGGGTGGGTTATGTCAATGGTAATGTCCATGTACTGGATCTTGAGGGTAATCTGCTTGGACAATGGGTGGCTCACAGCAGTCCAGTAATAAAAATGGTTTTTGGGGCTGGTTATATTTTCTCCCTTGCAAATCATGGTGGCATACGGGGATGGTGTATCACATCTCTTGGACCCCTTGATAGTGTATTACGCTCAGAGTTAGCTGGCAAAGAATTTCTGTATACAAGAATAGAGAATTTGAAAATTCTGACAGGTACATGGAATGTTGGTCAAGGGCGAGCGTCTTCTGACTCGCTTATATTATGGTTAGGTTCTGCTGCCTCAGAAGTTGGAATTGTTGTTGTTGGTTTGCAAGAAGTTGAGATGGGTGCTGGTTTCCTTGCAGTATCTGCAGCAAAAGAAACTGTAAGCTACCTTCTCAACTTTCTGAGTAAGCATTTTGACATAATTGCAAGTTAAGAGGCTATTCTTCTAGTTGTTTTGACTCAAATAAGTATCCACTAGGGATGTGAACACTTATGTCTGAAGCAATGACTTGGTGAGGAGCGTTGGGAAGGTGAAAGACAGCTTATAGAATGCATTTGGGAAGGGACTATGACTGATTAGGGCATCAGAAGCTTTGGACAGGGTTTTTAGTTTTGATATTTTGTCATGCCAGGCTTGTCATCATAAGTGTTTAATTTTTTCTCTTCCGTGATTTGACTCATTTTGTCTGCTTCTTCATCCTATTTAGCATGAATGAAAAGAAAGTTAAACAGGAAAATTGAAGAAGGAACAGAACTCCACTTTAGAAGTAAACCCATCTCATATTTGACTGTAGAAATGAGTGGAGCAGAATTTTGAGTGTGTGAATAAACTGCTTGTTGTCTTTTAAGTACGGTTATTGTGCTTTACCTTTCCCTTGTGTTTGCATTTTGAACTCTTAGGTAGGACTTGAGGGGAGTTCAGTTGGGCAGTGGTGGCTGGATATGGTAGGAAAAACATTGGATGAGGGGTCATCATTTCAGCGCGTGGGTTCTAGGCAGTTGGCTGGCTTGCTCATTGCCGTCTGGTAAGTATCTATACTTGGAAGATCTAGGACGTGTTTTGGTTATCTCTTAAAGAAAAGAAAAAAAGAAACTTAGTATTGCTACCATTAGTTTATACTTACATGATTGCATCTATAGATGAAACTTTTTTTCTTTTTGAAATAATCTATAGCCTAAACATTCACATTGATGTTTTCTACATCTCATTTAAATCAGTCCTTTCTGCTTTCATTTGATTTCTCCAACCTTTTAGGGAATGCAAAATTGAGAGATGTGTAGGATGATTTCTTTGACTAAATTTTAAGAATTAACCTACACTTACAAAAAAGGGAAATTCTTAGGCACCTTCTCCTAGTTGAAGATATTGGTACCTCATCAAATGCGTTTTATTTTCGTTACTTTGTGGCTCTCTTTTGTGTCGACTTTGGTAACTATTAGAATATTATAGAATATTCTCTATGTATAATAATATGATTATCTTTCTAAATATGTAAACGTTATTAGGAAGAAAATAATTAGGGTAATTTATGTTGGTTATTATATATGAATCCATCTACATGTATATATATATCTACTTCTCATTTCAATAATAACATAGGAATTATTCAGTATTTTTCTTTTCTAACCATTTACATGATATCAGAGCTAGAGTTTTAGGGATCAAATCACATCAGACCAAAAGAAGGGTTGAACAACCCATTCCCGGCGTCGGAGGAAGACAACCACCTATCTCTAACGAGTTCAAAGTGCGGCTAGCACAGTGGTGCATGCGGGAGAAGCAGAGGAAGCAGTTCGCATGGCGGTTTGAGGTTGCGTGTTGCGGGATTGTTGGAGGAGAGCATTCTCGTTTGTTTTGGGTTCCTGTTCGAGGATAGAAGCAACAGAGGAGTAGGTCGGCCGGTTATGTGCACGAAACCAGAAGGCCGAAGAGGGAAAAGGCGCGGCGGAGTAGATCGCGCGATAGCAAGCGATTCTCTATTCTTCGGCATGATTTGAGGCGTTTCTTGCGAGCACCATTCCGGATTAGGGCCGACATTGAAGTTCTGTGGTGATTTCTAGCCGAAAGGAGACTGTTTGGGCTTTCAAGCGGCGGTGCGTGTAACTTCAGCGGCGGCGCGTGGACTCTAGTGGTTGGCAGTGAGGTCCTGGTAGGGTTATTGATATCCGTGCGTGAAAAAGTATCTATTTTCTCAGGTTTTCTGGTATGCTTGCAGTGTTTTGCGGGTATCTCAGATTGTTGTGATTGGGTATTCTGAGTGACATTTTTTTGTAATTTTGAATTAAAATGAATGATAATATTGCCTGTTATTACTGCTGTGAATAAGAGCATATAAAGCGATACTGTAAGAAATTGCAGAATCACAATCGGAGGACACAAACCGTTAATATTCTTGCTGCTACTGTTAGTTTATTTTCTGAGAGAACTGTTATGATTTCAACTGATGAGTGTACTAAGTTCACTCTGTATCAGGAATCTTTAAATAAATTTTCTACTCTTGCTAAATTAGAGAAAAAATGTCTTATTTTCTTATCAAACAGATGAGTGATTGATTTTAGTGCTACAGATCACATGACAGATAATTCTAATATTTTTTTTAGTTTTCGACCACACAAAGTACTTTTTCCTGTGACTATTAATGATGGGTCGACATATAATATTGTGGATTCAGGGACCATAAAATCAACGTCATCTATTACTCTGTCATTTGTATCAAGTCTAAGTAAACTTGCCTTCAATCTGATTTTTGTGAGTAAGTTTACTAAAGATTTGAATTGTTTTATTACATTTTTTCTTGATCATTGTGTTCTTCAAGATCTTATGCGAAGCAGATTATTGGTAAAGAAAATATATCAGATGGTCTTTACATTCTTGATACTTGGGTACTTCGATTAGTTGTCTGCTCTAGTATTATCTCTCAATTTGAAACACATTGTCAATTGGGACATTCATCTCTACTTGTGTTGAAAAGTTATATCTTCAATTTCATGATGTATCATCACTGGATTGTGAGTCATGTCAGTTTGCAAAACATCACCATAGTCCATCAGGTCCAATGGTCAATACACAAGTTAAATCTGGTTTTGAGTTAGTTCATTATGATGTTTGGGGTCCCTATCCTGTTCCGTCTAAAACTGGGTTTAAGTATTTCGTTACCTTTATTGATGACTTTTCTCACATGACTTGCATATATTTTATGAGAAATCGTTCGAAAGTATTTTCTCACTTTTGTGCTTTCTGTGCTGAAATCAAGATATAATTCAATGTTTCTGTGCATATATTGAAGAGTGATAATGCCAAAGAATATATGTCAGATTCATTTCAGAACTATATGACTCAACACGAGATCCTTTTAATACACCATCTCAAAATGGGGTCGATGAGAGGAAGAACATATATTTAATTGAGACAGCTTGAGACTTTTTGTTCCAAACACAAGTTCCTAAGCAATTCTCGGCTGATGCCGTTTGTACAACCTGTTTTTTAATTAATCATATGCCATTACAGTGCTTGATGGGGATGTTCTTTATAGTGTCTTTTTTCGAACAAGTCTTTGTTTGCGGTGCAATTTAAGATATTTGGTAGCGCATGTTTTGTTCGAGATGTGCGATCTACTATGACAAAATTAGACCCAAAAGCCTTAAAGTGTGTTTTTTTGGGGTATTTTCGCCTCTAGAAAAGATACAGGTGCTACTCTCCAGATCTCAATAAATATTTGGTATCAACTGATGTGGTTTTTTCAGAAAATATGCCGTTCTTTTCCTTATCGTCCAAGTTTACAAGTTCGGAGGCGGACAACGAGTGCCTCATTTATAGCTTTACACCAGGTGCTTTTACTAAGTAAACAAATAAAAGTACTCCTTCAGATGATGTGCCTCCAGCTCTACTCAAATAAGTTGATGATAGTGTTCGTGTGCCTCTGACCCAAGTACTACCACTAATTATTCATGTTTATTCCAGAAGACAACAAATTGATGATACATGTCCTGCACCAGATCCGTCGTCATTTGATTTTCCTGTACAGGATCTTGATCTTCCCATTGATCTTTGTAAAGGTAAATGTTAGTGCACCATTCCTACATCAACTTCTCTCATTGCTAATTTTATATCATATGACCATCTGTCTCATTCGTTTAGTACTTTACTTGCTTTTATAGATTCAACTTCTAGACCTAAGACAGTTCAGGAGACTCTAAATTACCCTGCTTGGTGTAATGCTATGTTTGAGAAGATAAATGCTCTTGATGATAATCATACTTGGGATTTGGTAGATTTATTTAAAGGAAAAAATACTGTGGGATACAAATGGGTATTGCAATCAAAGTGAATCCAAATGGCTCTGTGACAAGACTTAAAGCTCGACTGGTAGCGAAAGGCTATGCTCAAACTTATGGGATAGATTATTTTGATACATTTTCTCTAGTGGCCAAACTTACCTTTGTCTTCATATGTATATGGAGCAAGCGCCTGAGTTTATTGCTCAGGGGGAGTACGGAAAAGTTTGTCATTTGAATAAATCTTTGTATGGTCTGAAGTAGAGTCCCCGTACGTGGTTTGGTAAGTTTAGTGAAGTAGTATGTGAATTCGAATTGAAGAAGAGTAAGTGTGATGATTCAGTATTCTATAGACAATCAACAGATAATATTATACTTCTTGTTGTTTATGTTGATGATTTTGTGATTACAGGAGATGACCATGTAGGAATATCCTCTCTCAAGTCATTCTTGCATATCAAGTTCAATACCAAAGACTTGAGATAATTAAAATACTTTTTGGAGGTTGAAGTAACAAGAAGTAAGGAAGATATTTTGTTATCTCTGAGAAAGTACGTACTTGATCTACTTGCAGAAACAGAAAAGTTGGGAGCTAAGTCATGCAGTACACTAATAGTACAAAATGTATATCTTACTAAAGATGATAGTGATCCTCTTGATGACCTAAAGAAATACAGGCAATTTGTTGGGAAATTAAATTATCTTATTGTGACTCGTTCAAATATTGCATATCTTGTCAGTGTTGTTAACTAGTTTATGTTGGTACCTACAGTTAAATATTGGGAGGTTTTGGAACAGATTTTGTGCCATTTAAAAGGTGCCCCACGTCTCGGCATAGTATTCAGAAATTAGGGGCATACTCACATTAAATGTTTTACAGATGCTGATTGGACTGGATCTAAGATTAATAGGAGGTCTATTATGAGTTATTGTGTTTTTGTTAGTTGGAATTTCGTATCATGGAAAAGTAAGAAGCAAACAGTTGTATCTCGCACAAGCGCAGAGTCCGAATATAGAGATATGGCCTAGTTCACATGCAAAATCTTATGGATACATCATCTATTAGATGAAGTGGGTTTGAAGCCCACATTTCCTGCAAAACTCTTGTGCGATAATCAGACTGTACTTCATATTGTCTCAAATCCTGTGTATCATAAGAGAATCAAATATATTAAGGTTGATTGTCACTTCATCCGAGAGAAAATTCAATAAACTTTTATATATACTGATTATGTGAAGACATGAGAATAATTTGGTGATATATTCATAAAGTTTATGAATGGAATACGGATTGAATATATTCGGAACAAGTTGGACATGATTAATATCTATGTTCCAACTTGAGAGAGAGTATTAGAATATTATAAAATATTCTCTATACATAATAATATGATTATTTTTATAAATATGTTAACGTAATTAAAAAGTACATAATTAGGATAATTTTTGTTGGTTACCATATATGAATCCGTTTACATGTATATATATCCCTACTTCTCATTTCAATAATAACACAAGAATTATTCAGTATTTTTCTTTTCTAACCCTTTATAGTAACAAATGATAGTCAAGATGATAGCAAATTCTAAACAAAATGAGAACGAAATATAGTAAATTGGTAATTAGAAATAGCATAATGTGACTCAAAAAATCAAAGCAGGTGGTTGGCCTGAAGTCCACAGCCAAACAAACCAGGTTTGACGGCCCAAAAAAGGGAAGCATTGGAGACATTCAGTTGGGTTTGAGGTCC